ACCATTCAGATGCCTCTTGAAGCTAAGCAGGAGTCAGTAGTCAGGGAGTTCTGGCTCTAAAGGAGGCAGCTGCCATCAACTCCATTTGATTGTCACAAAGTAGGAATACCAGCCTAGGGCTGCCAGACTTCTCAATGTTTGAACAGAAGCTAGAAATCCAGACTTTTATGAAATATCTTGATTTTAAAAACATATTGTTTAACATCCAGCAAACTTTTAAAACACTTTGGTGGGCAAATTAAACAGGGCTCTTGTCAAGACTTTCTGTTTATACCTTCTGATGTAGTCTAGGTTTATTTGTTTTTAGCAGCAGGGATTCTTTGTTCAATCAAAATGTTACCTGGAAGCGTAATGTATAAAGCAGATGAAAGGAGAACCATTCTGGTTGAAGTGGGTTTCAGAGCTCCTCCTACTCTGTCACCTAAATGTCCCCCAGGACAAGAAATAGCTCTGAAAGACCCTCCCGATATTGTACAAAAGCAGAAGTCAAAAAAATCATTGAGAGACTCTTAACTCCATTATTTGACAGATGAAGAGACAAAGTGGTTTATCCAAGGTTACACTGTAGTTACTGGACTTCTATTCCCAGACTCTTCTCAAATTACCTTACTGACTTCTTTTTATGGTTCTGTGTGTGTGTGTGTGTGTGTGTGTGTGTGTGTGTGTGTGTGTGTGTGTGTGTGTGTGTATGTGTGTATGTGTGTTTTGCTGGGGATTGGGCTTTGGGCCTGCAAGGCAAGCGCTCAACTAACTGAGCTATATCCCAGCCCAACTTTGCATGCTCTAGCACAGCCTTACATCAATGGAGGATCCATTCTGCAGCACCTCTGGCAGGTACTTTTCCAGACTCTGCTTTGATACCTTCAGTGATGCGACTTTAAAAGGGTGGACATTAACATATGAGCTTCACTTGCCAGGGAATGTTTGTGGGTTTTGTAGGTCCCGAATCCACTCAAATGATTTAACCAAATGCTGTTTGAATGTGCGGGCAGGTAAGTCTGCTCATCTAGTTGATACTATTCAGTTATTTCAGCAGGTCCTGCCTTTGTCTTAAAAATGAATAGAGGGCTTAAGAACAAATTCTTTTGTAGACAGGAAGCTAGAGCTGAAGGCATGACATGGAATAAAGAGAAGAAGGAGCTAAGAAGGAAAGGGGTGGGTGCCAGGAAGAGGTTTAACTTGAAGTCACATCATTCATACAAATTTGAGAGTAAAGAGTCCATGGAGAACATAGAGTAGGAAAGTAACTAATGAGTTCCTATCCTGGTGGAAAAAACAGGTGTTTCATCTGGTAGGTCCCTGTGAGACTGTTGAGCTGAGTCTCACTACATTCTAGGGTGGTGCTTTCTGAAGCACCCTGATTAGCAGCATTTTATCCTGTGTTCAGGCTCTGCCTTCTGTGGCCTGAAGACAGAATAGTGTGACTACTTCCTCCCTGCACTTCCTCTGGTTGCTGTAGGCCCACTTTACAGGCTCGATTCAAGTGCTTCCACAGCACACTGGGTTTTTACTCTTGCTGGGTCTGCATGATCAGGGAGCTGCTTGAGAAACTTGGGGAGAAGAAGTTAGCTTGCAAAGTCAAATTGCTGCTTGGGAAACTTAGGGATGAAGAATTGTGTTCTCAGGGATGGGAGCTCACATGCCAGGTAAACCTTCTTCCCCAAATCAGGAACACTGGCTGTCTTCAGGATCTCTGCCCATTTATATGCCAAAATATATTTATGGCAAAATATATATATATATGGCAAAATATATTTCTTATTTAATTTTGGACAAAGAAAGTTATCTTAAAGACTCCAGCAAAGTGAAAGTACTTTGATGTAGAGCTGAGCTTCCAACACTTGGATGTGCATGTGAAGTATTAGGGCTCTTTTGAAAATGTTGATGCTGAGTCAACAGGTAGTCTACATTTCTACTAAACTCCCTGATAATGGGGGATGCTGGTCTGAGGTCTACAATCTGAGTAGTTGCAAGAGGCTAGATGACCTTGAGAATCCATCCAGCTGAATTTTTCTTTTCTGATTGTTTTTAATGGTACTGGGGATTGAGCCCAGGGGCATATAACAACTAAGGCTGCACATCCCCAGCCTTTTATTTTATTTTTAGATAGGGTTTTGATGAGTTGTTTAGGGCCTTGATAAGTTGCTGAGGCTGGCTTTGAACTCAGGATCCTCCTGCCTCAGCCTCCCAAACCACAAGGATTACAGGTATGCACCACTGCTCCTGGCTGGATTTTCTTCTCACAGCCTATTTTATATGTGTACCTATTTTCCAATTGCACTAACTTATTGGTTTAAATTATTTTCTTTGTTAGATTTATTATTATTATTATTTCTCATTTCTATCCCTTCTATCATACAACATAACACTTTACTCCTTGCACATGCCATTTGCCTCTGCCACCTATTATCCCTTATTTTTGCTTTAATCTCCTGAATTTCTGGACCTGCCTGATTCTTTGATACCATCTCCCACATTAACTTATAGTTCATTGTGTTCTGCCACATTGGCCTTATTCTGTCTTCTACATATGTCAGTCTCATTTCCATCTCTGGGCTTTTTCCTTTGTTGTTCCTTCTTGTTTGGAATGCTCTTTCCCCATATGTCTAAATGACTGGGTTCTTCTCCTTATTTCAGTGTCAACTCAGATGTTACCTCCTCAGAGAAGCCTTTCTTGACCACCTAAGTAAAGCAATATCTCCCTCCCTGGTCACTTTCTATTACATTATACTGTTTATCATTTTCATAATAATTAATCAGTACCTAATATTACCTAATTTTGGGGTTTGGGGTTCAAGGTATAAACTTTCCATTAGAATATAAACTCCTCAAGCTTAGAGATTTAGTCTGTTTTGTTCCCTGCTGTTTCCCCAGCACCTCCAGCAAACTTGGAACAAAGTAGGTTCTTGATGCATAATTCTTGGTTGAGAGACTGTCTTCCTGGTCATTCTTCCACATTCATTGAACACTATCACTTTTCTTCACATCTTCTCCTGTCTGCCTATTATCAGCATTCCTTGAGGATGGCCTCACTTTCAACAGCTCGATCAGAAAACTTCTGCTGGTAGTACCCCATATCTTGTCATAACTAGTAAGCAACAGATCTCCCCCAGAATTTCAACTCTCCCCACTTTGACCACTGTATCTTGTTCTTCCAGCTCACTTTGGCACCTCACAAAAATTCTTCTACAGCGTCGAGATCTCCAATTCATTGGCTCTATCATTCCATTAACTTTAACCCATACTCAGCACTCCTCCTTGTGTCCTCTTTTCTCTTCTGTCTAGCTTGAATTCCCTGGTCCACTACTATGGTTACACCCTGAAGCAAATGCTTCCAACTCCATTGTCCAATTTATCCATTTTATTTGCTTTGCAAATCTCCCTCAGATTCCATTCAACCACTTGTCTTCTCCATATCTGTGTCTGATTAGCAAAATGGACTGGAGAAAAGTCCTACAGCTGTGCTGACTTATTTTGCTCTACCACAAGGCCTCAATTAGATACTCAATATTCCCCACAAACTCTATTACTTCTTTTTGTGTCTGCTTTTTCACTACAAGACAGTGACTCTCAAACTCGGTTGCACGCTAGAATAATCTAGAGAGCTTTAAAAAACCCTGATGCCAGTGGTTCAAGTTGAAAACCTAAAGCTATCTATAATTCCTTCTTCCTTCATCTTACATTCCACACCCAATCTATCACCAAGTTCTGCTGTTTCTATCTTGTAATAGTATTTCAACTATTTTTAACCTCTGTGCATCATTTTTACTGTTCTTCTAGTCCAATTCACTATTATCATTCCCCTGGATCACTTCAACAGCTTCTACCACCACCACCCCCTTTAGTCTGCTTACCATATAGCAGCATGAATGGTTTTTTTGAAATGTAATCAAGTAAACTACTTTGCTTAAACCCCCTCAATTTCCCCTCCTCTATTCCAGAAACTCTTAAAATATATATAAGTTGTTTTTATTCTGTACTCTTAAAGGCTTTACACATCCTAGATTCTGATAAATTTGTCTCCTATCACTCTTCCCCTTTATCTCTAGGTTTTAGCCTCATTGTGTTTCCACTTCCTGGGACTACAAGTCTGTTTAATATTTTAGACCTAATTTACTTTCTATGTATTTTTTGGGTATATTTGCTTGTTTTTATGTGTGTGTGCCTAGAATACTGTCCCCTTATATTTTACATGGCTGGCTCACTTTAAATCTTTAGGCCTCAACTTACATTCCATTTCCTTGGAGAAGTCTTTCCTTTAAACTCTCTCTCCCCTCCTCCAGAGTTATTCTCTACCTCTTCACTTTCTTTCATAGCACTTATTACCATTTGGATTACTGTATTTATTTACCTTATCTACTTTTCTATTGGATAGAAATGAAGGCATGGACTATGTTCATCATGTTCACTGCTATAGCATCCATGCTCAACAGAGTGCCTGGCACATAGTAGAAACATATTTTTTGAATTTATAACAAGTAAAAATGAGTAGTAATATATGTAGCAAATATTGTTTCATCAATACAACACGGGTTATAATAAAGATTTTATCTTTGCATTATTGTAATTGTGTACTTTAAATTTTCACTATGGCACTCCATTCACTGTCTAGAATCAAGGGTTCAAATTTTTTCTTTTATCCCAACTGAGCCACTAACTTACATTATTCCTTCCTTTCCATGGGACTGTATTTTCTCATCAGTAAAATGAGAATGTTGGAGAAGATATTCTTTAAGACCTTTGCCAACTCTGATATCTAATGGATTGATGTTTGCTTAAAACTCTTAGGTACATAATTTTGGACCTGAGACATAGAGAAGCTAAGTACTTGCCTGATGATACCCACCAATAGTTAATTTGCCCTTGACTCAGCTCTGGACAAAGCCACAGCCACAACAGGTAGGGATCAGCTTGAGCTGGTACCTCTGTCCCTAAAAGCCTGACTTTGGGTTCTCCAAATCACTATGGACTCAAAGAAAATGCACCAGAAGAGGACATACCTTAGATTATCTTCCTCTTCATTGCTGCTCATGGCCATAAAAGAGGAGATTATTTGGCTTTTCCCCACTGAGATCAGGTACCAGGTTATGTACCAAATAAGCTTCTAGGAGATTATGACCTCAAGAGAGGTCTGGAACACAGAGATTGCTGAAACTCTAGATTTTCTTTATCCTGTTCTGAGTGCTTACTGGTTGCCAGGTCCTATGCTAAGTTCTTACCTTGGATGAATTCATCAAATATTCATAACAATCTTATTAGCCCTATTCACAGATGAAGAAACTGTCCAGGCAAAGGACACTGAATTGAGATCTCAAATTCATTTGCTAAGCAAGTGGCAATGCAAGTAATTGATTGAATACAAACAGTTCTGGATCTAAAGCCTATAATCGTACCTACTATGTTATATCCCCTCTAACTATTCACATGGTTCTAGGCAAATAGGTATTCTAGACATACTGGATTCAATGGTGTCTAATTATGCCTCTGGGATTAACATCCATTCTTCTGCATGAGTCTCTAATCCTTTTATTTTCAGATCCATTCCCCACTCTTGTATTCAAAACTACATGTCTTAGGCTCCCCTGATTTCTCACCTCTTTTGTCTGCATAAGAAGACACACCTATAGGAGTTTGGTGGGCAGGATAAAGAAAGAAGCCAGGGTATTTTCCCCACCATATGCTTCAGAGGGATATTTTCTGGTGGTAACTGTATTTCTCCATGTCTTCAGCTTTTGTTGAACAACTCCAATGTTCATGATACCTGCTTCTAACAGACTGTCACACCATGCTTTTAGCTTCTGCATGGCAGCACCTGTTTCTGGGTTCAAATAACATTTCCATCTCCCAATATCCATCTGCGCTATGAATGGTAGCAGCATTCTCTGTTTACCAAATTCTGGGCTACCTTACCACTCCTGTTTGCCTTTTTAGCAATGCACATGTGATGTATTCACTGTATTAAATTCTCTGGTTTAAAAACCCTAAGGTAATCTCATGTAATCCCAATGACCCTGGAGGCTGAGGCAGGAAAAGATTGAAATCTGAGACCAGTTCCAGCAATTTAACAAATCCCTTAACAACTTAGCAAGACTGTCTCAGTATAAAAAATAAAAAGTTTTGGGAATATAGATCAATGATAAAGGATCCCTGGGTACAATCCCTAGTACCAAAATAAATAATTATTTTTTTAAATTAAAGAAACATAGGGTAGTTTCTGTTTCCCTGATGTAAACCAATACTTTTCCATAATCCCAGGGCTACTCATATCATATAAACTGCTTATATCTTTCAGAGCACAATCTCACTTTTCTTTTATTTGTTTACTGGTTTATTACCCATATATCATCTACTCCAAATAGATTGTAAACTCTATGAGGAACTTTGTCTTGTATCCTGAGCATCTACCACAAAGTTTGGCATATAGGGACCCAATAATATTGTTGAATGAATTGATCCATCAAAAAGTTCAAGTTTTTATTGGATATATCCTGTGTGCCAGATACTGTTGTAGAAGATACTAAGATGAATAAGTTAGTACTTTCAAAAACAAGAAATAAAAAGTTATGATTTCATTTAAGTAACAAATAATAGAAGAAAATGTACATACAGATAGAAGAAAAACATACATATACCAGAATATTCATTTACTAAGGCTGCCATATCCAAGTACCAAAGATAGGTGGCTTTAACAGAAATTTATTTTCTCACAGTTGTGGAGGCTAGCAGTCTGAGATCAGGGTCTTGTCAGGGTTGGTTTCTTCTGAGACTTCTCTCCTGAGCTTGTAGATAACTATCTTTTCCCCAAGTCTTCACTGTATACCTGGCTTGTGTCATACTGGATAAGGGTGCACCCTCATAGTCTCATTTTAACCTAATAACTATGTTAAAGATCCTATTTCCAAATATGAATCACATTCTGAGGCACTAGGGATTAGGACATCAATTTATGAATGGGGTGGGCACTATTCAGCCTGTAATAACCAGGAAATAAAATAGATCTTTTTCAATTGAGAGAGTTAAATGGAAGTGCAATAGGAATTAGATTTTAAAAAAATGTTAAAACCAAGGCCTGTAAATGTTCCTGGCAATCTTTCTAAAGGTGGTAGATCTTAAAGAGTCATGATAGTTTGAATGGGCTGGTTGGCTTGAGAAGGTGCATTGAAGATATTTAGCATTAATGAAGGCCCAGAGTTGGGAAAGTGAGAAGAAATTGTAGAATCACTGATGTCTAGACCAACAGACTTGGGAGGATGTTAAAAGGTCACCTAGGCCAAATTTCCATTTTATTCAAGAATCCCTTGCCTAAGACCCATTCAGTTTTTGCTTGTGCACCTCCACTTACTGGGAGCTCCTCAAGGCTTCAATCTTTGGCCAGGTCTGTCTTGCCAAAACAATGGCTTGGATGAATTTTGGTTTCCTAAGAAGCAGAGGACAATGAGTCTGTGTACCATGCCAGTGATGTCTTCATGCCAGTCACCTCCCTGAACTGCTGAAATCATACTTTAATTCCCTCTTGATGTGGTTGCAACCTCTGGTATTTTTTTTTTTAATTCCATTCTTGACAGATTGCCCTGCAAGCCAGGAGCCTTGGATTCTTGTCTCATTTTCTGTACTACTTTGGGCAGGTGTCTTTCAACCTCTGAGTTTCCTTGTTCATGTCTATAATGGGGGTAATTAATACTCTTTGTTGTGTACAACTCACAGAGTTATTGTGAGGATTATGTGAAATAATAATGGGTGTGAATGTGACTGACAACATCAACTTTCAACAATTGCAAAGGTGCCAGCCTGGGTTGCATTGCCCAGAGTTGAGGGCATTATGAAGAGGTGGGCGGTTTCTCCGTTTGCCTGTTTTGCTGATGTACATTTGACTTATTCTCAGCAAAATAAGCAAATGGAAAATTCATCCATCATCAAACTACCTTCCATGTTCCTGAGGGTATGAAGGAGAAGTCTAAAGTGGTGTGTGAGTGGGTGGGAGGAGTGAGGACAAGAACCAAATAAAGTATGGAAAGCTTCAGAGAGTAATATTAAGGCTTTATCTTTTTGTATGTGACCTTAAACCGATCCTTTCATCCTTCAACCTCCATTTATTTATCTGTAAAATGAAGATACTAATGCCTACTTCCACAGGATTGTTCGGACAAGTAAAAGTAATGCAAATGAAAGCCCCAGATAGTACACAGCAAGAGAGAATACCCCAGGGGAGTATGCAGAGGGAAAGCTTGGGGGAGGGAGGCATGAGAGTACTGGCATGGCTTCTTTGGGGCCGGATCTTATTAGGAGATTGGCTCAACACCTTTTGCAACTTTCAAGAGGACTTTCCGCTGACTCAACACTATTGGGAAGCCCCAAAAAAACAGCATCTAACTCCAGCGCAACGGGAGGCAGGCAGAGGTGGCAGCTGCCTTCTCCCTGGCGGAGGTTATTCACCCCCAATCTCGCCTGTACCCTATCCCCCCCATTCTAAGGCCTTTTGTGGGGACAAAGGCAGCCTATTGGGATCCCCTTGGCGTGCTTCTTACTGCCAAGCCCCTGGGGAGCAGCGGGGCTGAGAGGCAGAGCCTGCTGCCTGGCATGAAACAACCTGACTGAAGGCGAGGTCCCAGGCGGAGGGGATTGGGCTGTAAAGCTGTGGAGGAGGGGAGGCGGAGGGGGCGCTGGGGCTCTCGCTCGCTCCAGCCCAGCCCTCTTATCCAGCCCGCGACAACCCGCGCCAGCCACCGGGCCTCAGAGAAGCAGGACTTCGCGGGCACCATGCAGTGGATTAGGGGCGGATCGGGAATGGTGAGTGCACGTAGCCGTCCTGGCTTCCCCTGCTTAAGTCTTAGTCCCCCAGCCCCACCTCCAGTCCCTCCAACCAGCCTCCGTGAAGGAGCCCTTTCGCCTGTGCCCACCGCCCTCGCCGCTGTCCTTGAGACACCAGTGAGCTTGCTGTGGCCATTTTAGGAGCCCCTCTTCGCCCGCCTGCCCAGGAAAGCCCCCTCCCATCCCCCTCCGCATTTCTGCCGCCCTCTCTGTTTGGGGTGGGGGTTAGATGAAGCATCCAGGAGCATTCCAGAGGTCACCTGGGAGGCTAGAGAGGCCAGAGGGCTAGCATAGGGGATCTTAGAGCAGTGACACTCAAGAGGAGGCTGGCAACCTGGAACGGGGCTGGGGGGAGCTGTCGCAAGCCTGGGATTGTGGAGGGGTCCTTATGGGAGAGCTGCATGTCCTCCCAATGAATCTGCATGTACCCCTGGCCCCTGGTCAGCCTCAGGCATGAGGGCCAGAGACCGACTCTGAGGGAGCCCTGCAACCCTCCCTTGCCTGGGCTGGGGTCACCCTGTTCACACTTAGGGCTTTGTCAAGGAGAGACAGCTGCAGAACCCCCATTCTGGAAATGGGTCTGCACTACCTTTAACTAGCAGAGTCCCCCCCACTCCACAAAGAGTGTGTGTATTTAGTATCATTCTCCAACAGTTCGTTTTATGCCTTGGTGCTCCCTTGTCTACCTGGAGACCTTGGAATGACTTCCCTTTGCAGATAGGAAGTGGTGCCTGCATCTTGATGCTTCTCTGACTCAGCGGGGGGGTAGCTTAATTATGGTCAGGTGCTCTGGGGAGTGGGAGGCCACAGTGATTTTGTCCTCAGCCAGGAGACATGGACAAGAGGGTCTTGGAGGGCAGTTGGGGTGGGTCAGCAAGCACTGATGGTAATTCCAGCCCATACTTCTGCACTGCCATTCACAACCCAGAGCTGAAACAAAGTAGCCTGAAGCAATTGAGCAAAAATTGATATTTAAATCCTTTTTGTTCTCATTCTGGAAGAGAGGGGAATCTTGTGTGTAGACTAGGACTGTATTCAGGAGAGTTGTCCTCTTCCCTTCCTCAGGGTATTCTCTGGCTCTCTATATCAGTAGTTCTTAAAGGCATCTATTTTATGTGCCTAAATGCCAGGGCTTCAAGAGACCTTTCTTCTCAGACCTCCCTTGCTTCCCAGGGTCCCAATTAAAGCTAATCAAATGTTTCTAGAACCAGAAAAGGTTAGAGCTGGTTAAGATCTTAGAGTCCGTGCAGACCAACCAGGAAAACAAAATCAGAGAATGGGAGAGATTTGCTGAAGGCCACAA